CCGCAAGTCCAAAGTCGATAATCATCTAAGCACATGCGAATACAAAAAAAGAATAAGTAGTCTACATCACACATAGTTGAAAGGTTCAATAAGTGTTTATTCACCTGTGACGATGGCAGTATGAGCACTTCCACAAGAAACCTTTATTATATTAGGTCCAAAATCTTTTCCTTCATTAAGTTCTATCAGTGTAGGTTCAGCATAATTAATCAAAGACTGCGTGTGGTTATTTTTATCAGGAAGTGGAATGCCCAGTCTTCCCGAATGATTCCAACCAAAAGTATATAAATCTCCTGAATCTATTCATTATTAATTTAATTTGGTGTGATTTATAGCACACGGTTGAAAAGATGGTTTACCAGTAATCACTGCTGAATGCCATCCACCGCAAGCGATCTGAGCCACTTTTAAGCCCTCAAAAAATTCAATTACTTTAGGTTTATCCAATGATTTCGTGTCTCCATGACCCAATTGTCCATATCTAAATAACATCCATTAAAAATAATATATTGATCAATTCTTTCCTTAACTATTCTTAGTTATTCTTAAGCACTCAATTATGTTTAGTTATTTATATTTAACAATTCTTGACTGAATTGAAGCAATCAATACTAACACACCTTCCAGATCCCCAACTAAATACTTGTCCTGCTTGAGTCAATGCTAAACAATGATTCTCTCCACATACTACTTTGGTAAAAACAATATCAATTTTGTTGTCAGTTGGTGTAATCTCTTCCGAAGAGGCCTGTTCGATATCCCAATTGTATAATTTTCCATCTACTTCAAAAATAGAGTTTTTCATGTCAAATTTTAATATAAAGAGTTACAGTCAAATCTTTCTATTCCAACCAGTCCGTTCTTATATGTAAAAATAACAAAAAGTTCAGTTCTCAAAGAGTTACTAATATTGCTAATCCGAACTTTATAATAAAGTTTCCGAAGTTTTGTGTTCGGTTTTTACAGAGTTTATTAAGGGTTCGGATTATCCAGGTTCGGATTCGGAAAAGTTGACTGTAAATGACACCCTCTTGTTATCTTACCTGTAACCACAATCATAACATTGCCGGTCCAAAATTGAGAAGCATCAACAATTTTTGTATAAGAATTACTAATTTCATACATTCTCGAATGCTCCTTTTCGAAGACAATATTTCCATCAATATCAAGAAAACCTAGGATGCTATTGTCATTTCCAAAGCATTTTTTCACTCTTTGCCAAGATTTACGAGTCGGTGAAATTATCTTGTTTTCTACAGAGTCAAAACCCCACGTTAACAATACAGTTGAATCTTTCCCATTTTTTATAGACTAAAATAATTTATGACAGAATTAGATAAAAATGTTTACAATTGATTTATTGAACAAAAAGTTTTTGATAACTTTGGCTACCTTTTCGCTCAAAGTTGCGTTAATATTAGCCCAAATTATTTTGTCTGTGAATGCCGTTATATCAGTTGGTAAACTGATGATAACATCCTGAATTTCAGGGTGAGTTTGTCGAAAAGCATTATAACCAAACGCGTATAGTTTTGACTTTTTGGTCATTTGACAAAATCTAAGTGTATATCGTTATAAATACAATCATATGTAAATAACATTAAAAGAAAATAAAAATAAAAATTGTTTGGGATCCTCAGAAAATTTATTTCATCGGCATTTTAAAAATTACGATAATACATGCTTTGAATACTTCATGGATATAAAAAAAAAAAAAAAAAAAAAAAACTTATTTACCATTTAACTGTTTAGATTTGACCCGAACTTTGTAAATAAAAATTTGGTGTAGAAATCCGAATAAGTTTAAATAGGTAATTTTTATATTCCATAATAGTGTATGCAATGTAGTTTGTGTATATGATTAACCAATCAGAATGCATAAAGATTACTATATTCGTGGCTTGGAATAGTTGGCGGGCAAGTATTGAGAACTTCGCTTGACGCTTTATTTTTGCTTGAGCCTTATTTACCTTCTTAAGGTAGTTTAAGCTTTTCACTACCTTACTAACCTACTGCTAAAATACTTTACGAAGATGGCGAGAGAAGAATATAGTGTAGTCGTTGAAATGGACGACGAAGTACGTTAAACAGATCTGTTCAAGATTCATTTTGAGTATCGATTCAAGAATTCATTTTCTAAAGCTACTTTTCAACTTGTTCTGTATAGACCCCCGTTACGAGAGAAGAACTCGAATTTCAAAGTGAGATATTCATGTTATTCTGTACAGCTTCATGAACATTACTAAAGAAAGTGTTATAATAGATTTTTCTTCTGGATCGGGGGTCGGAGGGAAAATTACACAAGATAAACAGCAATCCTCTAATAATTCTGGTATATTTATTGAGCATCTTAGAACAACTTTCTACAGAGTCATTGAATCATTGCTTACAAACAAATGCTTTATTATTCAAAGGATTTAATGATACATCATTTTTCGATACAAGTACACCCCAAACTGCACCGCAAGGTGGGCATCCATTTTGGGCACTTGAATATTACGCTCAATATTTTGACGTGGACACGGAACAAGTATTGCAATCATTGTCAATGATTGACTTCTATATATATATATTATTATACGATTTATAAGACACTTTTTTAATTGTCCTGAATATTTTTTTTATAGGTCCTTACACGAGCGACAAAAAGTCTTTTCCCTAAAGACAATTTTGTTGATGTAGTTGGACCAAATCCGGACTTATATGGTACATGATAATTGTATAATATCCTCTTCAACATATCAAATTTTTTTAAAATACGATTTTTCTAGGTCCTTTTTGGATATCTACAACTTTGATTTTCCTTCTCTTTGTAACGTCTTCCATCGCGGGGTCAATCGAGGCTATTACAGATACCAATAGAGATAAAGCCAATTATGACTTCGGAATTCTCTATTTCGGAACCGTTGCGATTTATAGTTATACTTTTGGGGTATCTCTATTCGTTTGGGGTGCATTAAAATATCTTGGGTGTCGTCCTTCACTGTTGGATACCGTAGGGTTATATGGCTACGGATTGACAATCTGGCTTCCAATTTCAGTGAGTAACTTGTTTTCATAGCTGTGAAAAATATTTAGAAGACTAATTTCTTTTAAATATTAATATTTTAACAAAGGTCATATGCATAGTTCGAAATTATTGGTTACCATGGATACTTGTTATTATCGGATTCGTAATTTCTGGTAAGAACCATAAATCATTTCTTTCGTATACAGTGTCTTTATTAATCCATTAACATAAATTCAATTCTATTAAAATGTTCTTAGCATTTTTTATAACAAAGAATCTTTATCCCGTTATATCACGTGCAGAGGCAAAAGCCTCTCGTCTGTTCTTAATTTTTGTATTAGTAGCTCATGCTGCATTTGCACTTTTACTTAAATTCGAATTCTTCTCATATAAAAACAGCTCCAAACCTTCATCATCTTAATTATAAAATACAATTTCGTTTGAAAGTATAGAATGTTAATTATCACAATATTTTGTCTTCAGAAAAAAAAACTTACGTAATTAAAAACATGGGCATATTTTTTTTGTTTTTTAATCTATGGATGATAAACTTTTAATAGTAATCTTAAAAAATGGAAGTTCCAGGCTGTAAATTTTTGCAGATTTTATCGTGTAGGAAATAGATAGCGTTAACAAACATTTTAACGTTTAGGTTTACTATAAAAATGGCACGTTATATTTATTAAATACATATATTTCTAATCTTAATCACATCAGTCAGGTTGAACAAGTATTCAAAAGTTCTGTTTTTTTTTTTGTGATTACGCGTATTACACTTAATACCTTAGTTTTAAAAAAGCTTATCATAGTTTTGAACAATTTCTGCTAGTTGTTACTGATTACATTATTGAGAATAGCGGCAAATTTTTGTTTACACCTATAAACGTTTAACCAATCCTGAAAGCAGTGTATAGAAAAAAGCTAACCATGGCTGAAAGCAATAAAACACACTTGAACAAATTTCGCGATTATACTGTATACTACACGACGGAGAACCATAATTAGTTTTATAAGTACTCCTTTTTGATTTGCTAGGTAGATACTGTTTATTTCAATTTTTGCTTGCCATAATTTATTACTTGCCAGAGACAGTTTGTTAATTATCCGGGTAGTCCACTATATGATTACTAATTCATTCTCTGTAAACATAAGATCGAGATAGTCAAAGATTTTGGCATAAAAAATTTTATGATCATTTCTATAGAAAAAATTATCGACAGATTTATTTCTCGGGAGCATAATTCAGCCGAAGTTTGAATAGATAACTTTGAATTTTGCCCTGAAAAATTATAAACTCTAACCTTTGGTTAGTAAATAGCATAATCTCTTTTTTGATTGGCAGCTACCAATAGATTATCTATATCGCAGAATCTTATCTTAGTAGGGGAAAATTTAATCTCCAACCCTCAAGTAATAGCTATTTAACATATCTTTGTGTTTGTAAAAATTCGCTATTAATTTAAAATTTTAAAGTAAACATCTTGCTTGCAGATATGGTGTTACTTCCGCCTTCACAGTATCATCAAGCTAAAGGATATAGTCAGTCTCCGGCGCTTCAACGCGCAAGAAGACCATTCTTTGTTCGTAATGTTATGACTGGGTTACTCCTGTTAGGATTTACTGGGGCCGTGTGTATCCTTTAATCATTCTGTAGTTAGGACTCTAATAACAACGTTATAATTATTATCTTTGACTTTGTTTACTAAAAAACAAAGACACTTATTCAATCATGGCAGTTAAGCAAGATGATTTAGGCGATGTTCCCATGCCTCAATTTCCAGCAGATAATGAAGAATCAACAAAATAAAATTTATGACAATATAATTTTTGTTATTAGAAATCCAATAACAACTTTAACATTTTATATTAAAGTTTACTAATATATTTGTTAGATTTCACAGGGGGATAAGTTCTTTATTTTAGACTGTTTCGAATACTTCTCTCTATGGTTTAATCCGTTGGATATCCATTAAATTTAATATGAAAACGAATAACAGATCCAAGTTCTCAGATTAAATGAAATTTAAAATCCGCATCTCACACCTTTAATTAATTGAATAATTGAGCAACGTCTCGATTTAGCAAATTACTGTTTGAGAACAGCTTTACAGGCATGGAACATTGGGTGATCGATCATCCAATAAAATCAAACATATGTCTAGTCCCATATAAATTTACAATACTACAGATTTTTTTTATCATTTGGGTGCCGTCAAAGGAAAACATGACATCGGGCTTTTAATGTTCAGTTTGTTTACTGAGTCCGTCTATAGAAAATTTATCATCGGGCTTTTAATTATAATTTTATAATATCTTGCCACAAAATATATTTGGAAGCCCGATGATAGATTTTCCTTAGACGACACTCAGTAAACAAACTGGATATCGAAAGTCCGATGACAGGTTTTCCCTTGACGGCACTCATTTATCGATGAAAAATTATCAAATTTTTTAGGGCTTTATAATTTATCGCTATAGCGATGTATCGCCACCCGGGTCTAAGTCAAATCAAAATCCCGAAAATCGAAATTCCGAAAATCAAAATCCGAATCTTAAATGTCGCACCGTGTGATGTCGGGGTTCAATATTCAAGCCCCGCCTGTGATTAGTAATATAGATTACCTATAGGTTACTAATCATAATCTGGGTTTGAATATTGAAACCCAGACAACACGTGGCGTGACAAATAAGTCTCAGGAGGGTAGCGATACATCTCTATGGCGATAAAAAATAAAATCCAATTTTTTATTACATAAATTGATATATGAATATATGATGACTAGGCACCATTGCAGTGATAAGTCGTATGATGTCCATCTTTATGTATAACAGTATTTAGTAAACTATATTTGAAGCGAGACCGCAAACGCATTCTGGAAAATTTAAATGGTTATTCAGCCTTAATTGCGCGATGAATTGATGTCGTAGATCATAATGAAATCAGATTAAAATGAAATGAGGAGTTTCTATCTGAGACCCTAAAACCTACTTATACTTGTTTATTATAAAATTTGCTTCTAAACCCTAATCCTAACCCTAAAAAATGCTAAAAAAATGCACCCCAAAATTTTGTATTTTTTGGTGGCTTGTCTATTTTACACTGTTTCTCATTTCATTTTAATCTGCTACAAGAATTGACAAACCTATAAAGCTCACTAGTAATTCTATTAAAAAAACAAATAGTAAATATAATTTTATATCGACTACTGAAAAATAAATGCATTATTAATAAAAGACTCATATCTATTGCTATAGATCGATAAGATTTTCAGTTTTTTATATAACTTAAAATGGTTTTTAACCCTAAATATAGCAAGTAGATATTAGCAAATAAAGATGGATCTAAAAGATTATAAAAAATCTGCTTTTGTAACAAAAGATAGATTGTATAAATTTCTTGTGATACTATTCAGATTAACTAACATTTTAGCAATATTTTAAAGGCTAATAAACAAATCTTTTATCTAGTTAATAGAAAGTTTGTACTAATATATCTAAATAATATAAATATCTACTCCAAAATATTCAACAAACATTTACATCATTTGTAACAAGTTTTTTATTTATTAAAAAAGGCTAAGCTACATCTTAGCAAAGAAAATTGCTATTTTTTTAAAAAACATCTATTATTTTTAGAACATTGTATAAGTAGAGAAAGCATTGCTTCTGATCTAACTAAAGTTGAAAAGTGAAAAACTTCTTGATATTAACTAATTTAACAAAGTTAAGAGGCTTTATTGAATTAGCCTTATACTATTAAAAATTTGTAAAAAATTTTTCTATAATTATATTTCTATTTAACAAACTATTAAAAAAAGATAACTTTTTAAATAGAACAAATAATATTAAGATATCTTTAAAAAAACTGAAACAGAGATTAATAATCATATTTATATTATAGTGTTTCTATAAACTGAATTGAACTGAACTTTTGGTTAAGTTCAAGTTCAGTTTAAAATTGAACTAAACTTGAACATTTTTTAAAAAAAAATTTAGTTCAAGTTTAATATTGAACTTGTAAACCAAGTTCAGGTTCAGTTTAGGTTCAGTTCAAAAGTTTATAAGTATATTTAATTGATAATCCGCCTATGAACTGAAGAATAGGTGAAATGAGACGTCTGCCATCTAAACTTTTTTTCGTACTAAGTTAATGACACCCATTAATTGAAAATTGTAGAGCTCGTCGAGACGCATCTAACGGTGGTTAGATCATCCAAATCGGCATAGTGGATGGCGAGATTTCGTCAAAAAACGATTGGCCGACTATATAAAATCTCTATATAAACAATATTTGTTTACATAGAGATTTTATATAGTCGGCCAA